GAATCGTGGAGAGGGGAGGGGGGGGAGGCTTTTTTTTTGTCCGGAGATAGTCTTTAATTTTATTAAAGCGTCTCAAAATGACACTTGATTGAACTGTGTGCACGTTGTGCTACGGAGACACATGCGTCATTTGTATGCAATGCATCTGAACGCAGCGTTATGGGGTTAACAGAGCACATAGAAAGCAATTGCATTCTACGCACCCTTGTGTTGATCTAGGCAGATGAGCAGTCTGTCAGTCTATAGCCACCCCATAGGAAACCCGTTCATCAGCCCATTAGAAGAAAGAGGATTTGGGGCAGTGAGGACACAGTGAGCAGCACACGCCCATAGGCTGTGCCTGGAGAGGAGACAATAGATAAAGATGAATACACCGAGCCTGCCATATACAAGACTTATCAATGGAGCCAACAATCACATACTCACCGAACAAGGTGAGAGCCATGGCCGGCAGCTGCACAGAAAGCCCGGGGCTGGGGGACGATCACCTCATGGGCTCAGTCCAGGTTGGGATGGAGAGCGCTGGAAGAAGCAGATGAAAGTTATAAAGGAAGATGAGCGGCTCATAAATCATATCCTGGTGACAGCCGACTGCTGTGTGCAGGGAGGGAGGGGGGCATACGTACCGCACACAGGGAACAAGGCACTGCCGCTGGAGACTCGCTCGCTGAATGGATGACGAGCACAGGTCGCAGTCACGCCGCATCCTTCAGGATCCCGGCCGCCATCTTGCTTCCCCCACATGACCAGCAGCTGCGGCTCCTCAGACAGAGGAGGCGGCGGCGGTCAGGCTGGCGGCTGCCTGTGTGTTGTCCTGGCAACAGGAAATCCGCGCTACCTCTCGCCCTGTGCCTGGAGCGGCCTGCTATCATGTCCTCTCCCCCCCTGAGAGCAAGGCTGCTTCCTCCTCTGCTGCCTTCCAGGGCGGTGTGTGAAAGGGCTATGACAGAACCAGAGGCACGATAAAGTGCACCTGTCATGAGGGACATTCAGGGATGCCAGGAGACCTGAACGTTATCACTAGGTGCAGGGCTGGATTTACTCCCTCTGCTGCCCCAAGGCCAGGTTCCTCCATGCGCCTCACCCCACTGGAGAAATTCTTCTTTCTTTCTTTTTTTTATTTGATCACTTTCTTTTATTTATTTTTTTACTTATTTACATTTTTATTTATCTTACCTTTTACTTTTTTTAAGTAATTTTGTATCTCATTATTTTTTACTTTTATAATTTTTTTATCTTTTCTTTTTCTTATTTTTTACTTTAAAATCACCTTTTTATTTTACAATTTTTGACTTATTTTTTTTAATCATAATTATTTTTTATTTTTTTTATTCACTTAACCTTACTGCTATCACACAGGAACTAACAAGCCCCTGTGTGATAGCATTTGGAGGTGACAGGTTCTCTTTATTGAACCTGTCACTTCCAATAAAGGAGTGACAGCTGAGAGGGGAGGGTTGCTCTCCCGTCTCAGTGTTCACACGGAGCAGAGTGGAGAACGGACGTTCTCCGCACTGCTCCCCGCTCTCCATCCTGAAGATCTCCAGAGAGAGGCGGCCAGTGAGGAGTGAGGTACACATTGGGGGTGGCAGGGGGAGGATGGACCTGCAGGCTGCATACAAGTGATCTCGGTGACATCTCCGAGATCACTTGTAAACAAACAAGCGGCTTCCCCGCTCTACATTATGCCCTTCTTTCTTCTAACAACCGGGGGGGCGGCCGGTGTGTCTGCTCCGGGCGTTAAGCTGAGGGGAGGCGACGGACGGAGCCCCCCCCGGTTATTATGCCACTGCGGGATTTGGTGGGTCTCTGTTGCTGCGGTCCGGTCAGACTCGGACTCTCTCCGTGGCCGCCCGTGCGTATGTGCGGCCGCGCCGCCTGTAGTGTCACTCCTCACGCAGGCAGCAGGCTCCTCCCACAGTCTCGGAGTCTGACTCACTGTGCTGGGGGTCAAAGGCAAGGCCTGTGTGAACAGTCAGTCGGCGGAGATCGGGGTCTATCTGTGTCCTGACTCCTGGGTATAGCAGCTGTCCTGACTCATGGGTGACAGTCACAGGTGTTGCACTGGTCAGGTCAGCTGCTGGGCACCCAGAGCTGCTTGTCCAGGGTGTCGGGAGATTGCACACCCCTGCCGCCCCTCTGTGGCATTGTGTGAAATCCGGCCCTGACTAGGTGTAGCAGTGGGGACCGTGTTTGAAATAAACAAGTCTTTACAGAAACCCGTTGCTTCAATTATGTCCAACTTTATCAATGACCTGGTTTGTTTTGAAGTAATAATATTTATAAATAAAACACCTGAAATAAATAGATGTTTTCTCATTTTCTTGCAGTGTGCAATGACCAGTTTGTATGGTCTTAGTTACCAAGTGCCCCTTGTACTCCATTTTGTCATACACCTAA